TGAGCTGACAAATTTTTCTGCATATTAACTTCGTCCGATGTAATGTCAAAATGAAAATGGAGATTATTGACAAGGTTTTTTTAAGCTACCTGAAGATAAATGATTCAATTTGACTAGAAATGAAAGAACTCACTTTTCGCTTTATATTAGATTATTTTCTGTCATAGTGGATACCTTCTTTCGAATGCGAAAAAGAGTGGTTACATATGGATATTTTTTGAAATTATTATTCTTCTATCTGTTCAATTTCTAAATAACGCAAATGCGGAAGGTATACTGTATAAAGAAGTAAATTTCTACATGACTCCCATTAAATAAGGCCTGCTTTAAGTTACGTTCACGGTAATATATATGGGCACTTTGCTTTTATGCAATCTAGGCGATGCCATAAAACAAAATGCGTCGACATGATTGACTCCGGACATCGTGTAGACTCCAGCGAAGCCAAATTACCCAAAGTCCCTGGGCCAGCGTTTGTTAGCAACAGCAGAAGCAACTACGATCCGGCTAAGGAAGCCGGCTTTGTGCGCGCAAAAGAAACTCCTACAAGCCCCGAGCTTGGCATGGCCAACGGTTACATAAATGCCTGCATCTTTCCGCGCTTTCTCCCCCGTCCGCCCTCCCTCCTGTCCGGATTCAACAAACCCACATTACCTCGCAACCAGCCGAGTACTATAAACCCCACACCCTCCCCTATTCTCATGACTAATTTGCTTCCAGCATGTTACTTTTTACCCCCTCCCTACATAAATATAATGGCTCGAGGATAATCTATCGAAAGCTACTTATGCTCGCCAGATATTCTTCTGAATTCTCTGAAGGGAATTTTTGCAAATTCACAATTTTTTTATTACCAAATTTTGTGGAAAAAACTGCACAGGGTAGGTTAACATAATTTTTAAAACAAATCGTTCCTTTTACAAGCGATTATTCCAGTCCCAGGAAGTAATTGAGAACTAAAAGATGACTGGACGCTGGGAAAATATGTTTATTCGCCTGATGTTTCAAAATCCGTCAGGCGAAACAACATATTGTCCCAACGATCGAGTCGTCTTCTACTTCTCAAATCGTTCCTTGTTTCTGAAAATAGATATGATTCCTTAAACTTGACCTGAATTACTTCTGAACAATTTTGGGCTGGAAGGGACACTTTTAGCCTGTTTTAGTTATTTTAGAATTCTTCCATAGAATAGTGCATATTAATAAAAAAAGGTTTGTTTCTGTCGTACTTAATTTCATAGTAAATTTCTTCGATGTGCTAGGACTCTCAATTTCACCAAAATTAATGCACGTTACGCTGAATAAACTTAGTTAAAGGGGCGATTTTCCTAACTAAACGTTTTTCCACAGGATTAAGTTTACTCAGGCGATCAAAATAACGTGACAAAATGTATGCTAAACTACC